TAACTGCATAACCTTCTTCATTCAGATGCCCAATTGAAAGTAGATTTCTCCTCAAACCATGAATGTGTCAGACAACATTCAGTTTCAGCGTGCATCCGTTTGGAATTTTCACCTGGACTGTACCCTGATATGCACTAATTAGTAGTGCATAAGTGTATGACTCCATGTCTTCTCTTGTGGGAAGCAACCCCACCTGCCACTAATCCAAGCTTATTCAGACGCCTCTGATGATTTTGATTTTTCGGATGACTCCATCTTCACAGACGACTTCTTGGGACATGCAACTGAAAGTGACCGTCGTCCTCCTATTTCTTACCCAGAAGAAATTAGGAAGTCTAAATTCAATAGGGAAATTTGCCGTAAAGCGAATTTCATAACTGCGGATAACTGTCTGCCAACTGAAAACCTGAACACGCAATTGAAAATTTACAGAAAGAATCAGAAGAACAAAAGGCGCCATAATATGAGAACAAGATCTCAATCCAGAGATTTCCCATGGGATTAGCTCTGTATTTAGTTTGCTCGCTTCTTTCCTTTTTGTACTGCTTTTCCTTTTTCCTTTTATCGCTTTGTACTATTTTGCATTTATCAATAAAATTCATCTTTAAAAAAAAAAAATAGTAGTGCATAAGTGTATCTTTTTATGTTTGATTTGTGTGGATTGTTTACCGTTTTATTTAGTTTATAAACATTCGTGTGATTTTAGTTGTAATTGTATTTTAATCTTCAATTGTAAGTTGTAAAGTAGAGTTAGGAATTAGGGTGTTGGAAAGGAGGACTTTGAAGTGAAGAAAAATGATATTTGACTGCCCAGGAGCTAAAACCCGACCGGGTAGGACCTTACACCCGGTTGGGAAAGAAGTGAAAACCGAAAGTGCTCAGGAAACTGCTAGACCCGGTCGGGTCCCCTACTCCACCCGGTCGGATCTGACTTGACCCGGGACATTTTAACGTGCCGAAGATCACCAGAATGTGGAGGATATTTGATTTTGACATGCACCCGGTCGGGTGGGCACTTGACCCGGTCGGGTACCCGGCCCAAGGTGTTGAAAAACACCTATAAATAGCACACTTTTCCTTCACAAATAATCATTCCTTCTTCCATACTCTTAAGCTCAGTTTAGAATAGTATTTCTTTTATATTTTTATTATATCATGTTTAGTCTCCAAATGAGGAGCTAAACTTCCATTTCTTGGTGTTGCTCTTGAAGCTTGTTGATTATTAAAGTTGTGAGTTATTTTCTTAACTTCTTCCCTTGAATATTAATTCTTCTCTTAATCTATCTATATATTAATGTTGGGGAGTGTTGCTAAGATGACAATTAGTTAACATCTCGACATTAGTTATAGTAGTATTTATTTTCTTCCTCTATATAATATGAATGTTGGGGAGTGTTACTAAGATGACAATTAGTTAACATCTTGACATTAGTTATAGTAGGATTTATCATCTTTAATATTCTTCCTTGAATATTAATTAATTCCTATTCATATTTCATATTAATATTTTGAACATTACTTAAAGGATCAACTAGTTTTGTTTCATATATTAATTATTACTAGAATCGATCGACGAATACGCTTGTTAATCGTTGATGGTTTCACAAGTAAGTAACTTCGGTTTATTAATGCACGGTCGTGATTAATAAACTTAAGAGGGATTAATTTTGTTGGTTAAACCGAAACCGTTGTGTTGAGGTTATCAATCTCAATTGATTTCATCAAGGAGTTAAGAGATTAAATGCTACTATCAAGTCGGTATATGGTGGTGTTCTATACTTGACTAGTAGTAAGGGTTATTAATGAACGATCGTTGTTAATAACTACCCTCGATGAGTATTAGAGAGGGGATAAGTTATAGATATAACAATGATCGACTAAAATATATCAACAAGTGGAAAGTAGCAATGCCAAGTCCTTTTTATCTTTGAATTAAATCCCATAGAAGTCGTTCATCGTCGTATTTAATTAAATTAAATCACTCAATCCCTAAACCCCCCTTATGTACTAGTTTTACTAAATAGAGAATTATTCCTCTCCCTGTGGATACGAACTCTACTTCATCTATACTACGTATAAGTGCTAGTATCGAATATTATTTTGACGCACCGTGACAAAGTGCTCGTCATACTCTTTCCGACAATTTTCAGAGGTTCATCATTAGCAAGATACACCTCTCCAAAATTGTCGGGAGTGTTCTGTTCCATTACTTCAGCATTGCCACATGAATGGAACGAAGCCCCAGAATTCAGAACCCACGACTCCAAAGGACTGCTCACGCTCAAGATCAAGAGCTCGTCGCCAGATGATTCAGTGGTTGCATTGGCGGATGTCTTCTCCTTCTGATCCTTGATCTGCTCCTTGCACTAGCTTTTGAAGTGCCCATACTCTTCGCAGTTCCAACACTTGATCGAGCTTCTATCCTTTTTTCCTTTACTGTTTGATTTTGATTTTGATTTTGATCTCGATCTATCTCGATTTGATTTTGACTTTGAGTTGGTTATGCCCCGATTTTCTGTACTCAACGCCAATCCAGAAGTCACGCCTGATTCCTTCCTGCGAATTTCTTCGCTCACGACCAGATTTCTGACTTCATCGAATTTCAACTTCTCCTTCCCTGTTGACACGCTTACTGCAGTAACCGTTCCGTTCCAGCTTTCTGGTAAGGATGACAGCAAAATTAGGGCTTGAATCACGTCGTCGAATTTGATCTCAACCGCGATCAATTGTGTGGTTATTATATTGAACTCATTGAGATGCTCTACAACGTCTGTGCTTTCTGACATCTTTAGGTTAAAAAGACGCCTCATCATATGAACCTTGTTCGCAGCAGATGGTTTTTCGTACATATCCGATAATATCTGCAACATCTCCTTCGTTGTCTTTGCCTTGATGGTGTGTAGGGCGATGTTTCTGGACATCAATAATCAAACCACGCTCATTGCCTTCCTGTCCAACAACTTCCACCGTCCAACAAATTCCAATCGCTCTCCTTCATGTCTTCCGGCTTGTCATCCAGAGGTTAATACAGATCTTTACCATACAGGTAATCTTCGACTTGCAACTTCCAGAATCCGAAATTCGTCAATTCCATCGAACTGCATCAATGGCGTTTTCAAATATACCATCGTATTGTTCCCTTCGAACCTAGGGCACTGATACCAATTGTTAGGAATTAAACTAACGCAACACGAAAGACAATAAGAAAGACACACGAAATTTGGTAACCCAGTTCGCCACAAAGGACTACGTCTGGGAGCGCTATCAAGCCATGATGTTACTATTATTTTCTGATAATGATTATAAGGAGAGAGCTTGTATTTATAGAGAGTAAAACCTAACCCCAACCAATACAGAACTCGCGGACCATATATAAAATGACCCAAAAAAATTTCGGCCAGGGACTACCGCCCCCGGACCCCCTCCTTCGGATCGGGGGTTGTCGCCCCCGAACCCCTATCCAACTCCTCGTCGAGTTGGTTCGACGGAATGTGCTTGGTTATACAGTCTCTAACACCTTACATAACCATCACCCTTCACAGCGACAAAAAGCACTAGATCCCAACCCCTTGCCCTCCAGCCCCGCCCCAAGACCTGCCCCCAACCACCATCCCCATCTCCGACCAGACCAGTCCCCAGTCCACCCCTCCCCAGCCTCGATCTAGCCCCGATCAGTCGAACCACGACCACACTGGGTCAATGAATTACCATTAATTTATTTATGACGATAACAAACATTAATTTGTTTATGCTTAAACGCTTATTGTTTGTTCTACACAAACAATCTGTTAGTTTTTTTTATTTTTTATTGGTTTGTTCCTTAAAACAAAAATATGTTAATGGTGGTTAATATTCTCCCATGAAAATTACATTATCTTAAAATATTCTCATAAAAGAGAAAATTGAAAAAAATCTCATGATAAATCAGACAAGACGAGATCAGGCCAGTAAATTTCAATCTAAAAGGAAACATCCTTATGTTTACATATCTAATTACGTTTTTTTTTTTTTTTTGCAATTCTTTCCAACATATATATTATAGTATCTATTCTGTTAAGGCTAACATCCTTAAACTAGGATGTTGTTCGAACTTGTGATCTCCTCTTTAGAAGTGTCACAGTGATACCATCAGACCACAAGGACTTGACATCTTATTAGGATATTATTTAAGGCATGAGTCGTTACGTTTTATACAACTTATTTTACACACTTGCCGCAAATTTGGGCTGGATTTTTCCTTCCCATTGCTGCTCAATCTCTATTACATTATACTATCGTATTATATAAAGATTTATATATTATTAACTCAACCAAATGATTGTCCCCGCCCAATTTAAAGAATTTTTTATTTTTCTATTTTCCTCAATGAAGATTGTGATATTTGGTGTCAAAAGTAGTGGACTGAATCATATTAGATCTGTTCTTACTTTTCATGGGAAAAGATTTTTTTATTTGATCAAAAAGTCTGTGTTTTGTTAATGGCCTATCAACCATTTTTTGGCTGTTTTGACCAACATTTGGTCTTTTGATCAGATTAATCAGTTAATAATTGTGTTTGGTTACATAGATTTTTAATTTAGCTTTTTATCTAAACAGCCAAAATTTAAAAGGAAAAATTGATGTTAATAATCGCACATTTATACTATCTTCTTAAAACAGTCCCACTTTAGATTGATGTCCTTAAAAGTCATTTAAGAAGTTATCAACGGCTTGTAAACAACCATTTAACCAAACATCATATTTACAAACTGCTAATACTATTGGCTGATCAAAACAACCAACAGAATCCGTTGTTATCAATCAGCCAACACAATCCGTCATCGGCCAACAACCAACAGCCATTTGATCTCTCTGTATGACTCTATTCACTGTATTTGACTATTTTCCTTGCATTAACTTTAAGCGCGCAGCTAGTATCTTTGAAAAAATTTCATTAGTTTTCTAGCAAAGATACTTTTTACGTAGTACTTTGTAAATATCCGGTCATTATTACCATGGACGGAGCATACAAAAAAAAGTTAAAAAAAGAAATAGGGCTATAACGTAAGGGAGTACGTACATGTACATCGAGTATGAACGAAAAACTTACTTTTGTGCTTCGGGTTGTGTATATATATAAATCTCTCCAACGAGAGGCAGAGAAAAGAAATAAATTGATCGAGTAGAATATATTTAGTCCAGAACATAACCGCTATCACCCGAAAATAAAAATGCTTTGGATTATTCTTGGGGCCTGCGCATTGGATATTGCAGCTACGGTTTTGGAGATTGCGGCGGGAATCATGCAATCTAATCAGGTATATACGTCCGTATTAATTTTGAATAGGGAAAAGTATGGAAAAAGTACTTGTGGTTGGACCTATTTTCAGATAGAGTCATGTGTTTCATTCTTTATCAAAGTGGTTCATGTGTTTGAATTCCGTCATCATAAGAGGGTCATGCCGTTTAAAACGTCAGAAAAAGGCCGTTAAAAGTAACTCCGATTTTCAAATGTGCCCTACAAATTAAAAGAAAAATACCGGAAGGTGCGTCTCAATAAGACGACCGCTAGGCCATCTTTCTTTTTTGTTTTCAGCCACCTTTGTCACCGGAAAGTCCACCGGAAAAGTGATAATAGTGAAATCATTTTTAAAAAATAATTCAAACAGATTTGAAAAATGCAAAGGCGAGGGTAGTTTGGAGGTCATCATGACGAGGCGCACCTTTTGGTATTTTTCTTTTAATTTTCAAGGCACTTTTGAAAATCGGAGTTACTTTTAACGTTCTTTAGACGTTTTTAACGGCGTGACCCTCTTGTGATAACGGAATTCAAACACATAAACCACTTTGATAAAGAATGAAACACATGACTCTATTTGAAAATGGGTGTAACCACAAGTACCTTTTCCGTACTTTTCCCTTTTGAATACTACTTGCTTCTATGGTCCTGATTTATCTTTTCGGAAAATCTCACTAAAATTGTCTCATAGCATATTTGGTAAAGTTTGTGTGGCTCTAAATCATACTTACTAGAAAGAATGACCTATATAATACTACCGAGAAACGTAAGGACAAAAATAGGCCATCTTTCCCGTTTTCCACATCCAAGACCATTTCACTGTTCATTTACAATTTTAACCTTCACCTATTATTACGAATGTTTTATTTCGTTCTCCCCCAATTACTTTCGTCTTCGTACATGCGGCCATGGTAATCTGCGTTTGTGATTCTTGTTCGTTGCGTGCCGCACCGCCGACTTCGTCGCTCATTGCCATCCCAATTCCTTTCTCTTTCTTCTCTTTGTGTTTGACCCCATCAATGGAGATGATTCAAGCGACTGAGGTGAATCTAAGCGCGGCATTGGACAGACGAGGACGACTCCGGCTAAGCTACGTTTTCCTTGTGACGGCTCGGTTGGAGATGGCTAATCCTAGATCTGAGCCAGCAACTAGGATTTGTTGATTCGGGTTGGGCGGCGGCAGACTAGGGTAAGTCAATTGTGGCTGAGTTGGGTTTGTTGGACTTGGATCTGGAAAGGAGGGCAGGGGCAAGACAGGGTGCAGGCTGGGTAACAGGGGTTGAGGCAGGGGAGTTGGACACTGGATGCGGCGGCGGCGACGTGGGGCCGTGGCGGCAGGCAGCGAAGTTACTGTAGATTTTTGTGATAAAAATGTAACTGGGCGGTTTGTAACTGTAATTATCAGGCTTAATAACTATAATTAATTGGATCGGAAAATTGTATAATTAGTCAAATCGGGTAATTGAAATTAATCGGGTAACTATAATTGGTTTGGTATGGTAACTTTAACGGGACGACTCAAGTAACTGTAAATGAGTGGTGGATGGGGCGGCGAGTAATGGACGGGTGGTGATAACCGGAACAGGTGGGTGATGGTTAATGGACGGGCGATGGTATTGGAACGAGTGGAGCGGTGGTCACTAGAAGGGTACATTTTTCATTGGAGAACAACGAGTGATCGGGATGGCGGCAGATGGACAACGGGTTAGATCGGTTAATTGTAACTAATTGGGTTAGGTAATTATAACTGGTCGAGTTAGGTAATTGTAACTGGCAGAGTTTGGTAATTGTAACTGGTCGAGTAACTGTAACTGGCGGGTTAGATAATTGTAACTGGTGATGATGGGTCAATGATCGATTTTTGGTCACTTGTAAATTTTGAATTTTTGGTCACTAATGATTTTTTGGAATTTTGGTCATTGATTGATTTTGGTCACTGGCGAATTTCGGTCATTGATGGATTTTGGTCACTGGCGGATTTTGGTCACTGGAAGATTTTGGTCACTGGCGGATTTTGGTCATTGATGAATTTTGGTCACTGGCGGATTTTGGTCACTATGGTGTTACTAGTCACTGTGACGTTACTGTAGCAGTAATAGGGGTATAATAGTCTCCTAATCACTTCTTAGTATTTACTAGATTCTTACTTTATCAATTAATATCAATCACGCAAATTCATTTTTCTTAATAACCGTGCAACCCCCTTCCATCCCAATATAAAAGAGACGGAGGTAGTATCAGTGTATAACCTAGGTAACTTGGCGTTTTCAGGTATACTGTGAGTATTGAGTCCGTTTGTTAATACACAAATCGTTTGATTCTCGTGAAATTTATGAAGTTCTGCCTGAATTAGCTGAATTGGTTGATTCTGCTGATTTACAAAAAAAACTAATAAAATAAAGAAAAATTACATGAAAAATAGCTAAAATGGCGTGAAAGCAAAAGTTATGAGTTTGGCGGAAAAAATTGACCGATAATCCTAATAAATGAGAACGGGGTCACCAAACGAGTTCTATGACTCATCCCATCATGACATCATCATAGTATGTTTTTGTTGCATGCTGGCTGTTTTGCGTTGAATAATAATGGTGGAATTGACTGGAGTTTGTATATATAGGTGAGGAATGCCGTGAAGGATCCGTCGAGTCTGTCGGATTGTTATGAGGCAAAGGATTTTGTCATTTTTTCGCTACCCTTGCTACTTGCAGGATTTTGTGGTGGGCTAGCTCATCTAATTGCTCACTTTTATGGACAAATTTGGATCTACGAAAAGCGTCTCTCTCTCTCCAATAAACGGAACATATATGCAATCCTTTTTGCAACAATCACTTGGTATGTTTTGCTTAGGCTCTGTTTGTAATCACTTGTGCTTAAATAAAAGTATTTTTTGGGAAAAAGTGATTAGTAGTAAAAGTTGGTAGTGTTTGGTAAAATAAGTGCTTTTTGTGTAATAGAAAAAGTAAAAACTAGATTCTACACGAAAATCGAAGAAGTAAAAGTTGATAGTGTTTGGGAAAATAAGTGCTTTTTTCTTTAGAAAAAACCAAAATCACTTTTTTTAATTGATTGCAAACAAACCCTTATACCTTGTAGCAGGGCCTTTCACTCCAATTCTCGAATTCCTTTCACTCTTACGAGTCCAATCATATCAAATTTCATTAAATCAAATCAGATCAGATTTAAACATTGACGTAACACAATGTATTTATTCATACAATATACTTATCAAATTTCATCAGATGTTCGAAATCAAGCCCAGACAACAAAACAAACATCATTCAAAAATACAAAGATTGATATGATTTGAAAATACAAAGGCTGGTGTCAGGGGCGGCCCTATATGTTCGAAGGCCTAGGGGCAGAAAATGAAAATGGGCCTAATGTTATACTCCGTAAAAATTTGTAGAACCTTTTTCTATCTAAACTGATATGCATAATAATAGTAATAATAATATAATAATATTTCAAGACATTTGTATAAAGCTGTCAAACCCTATTATGTCTAAATCAATCATATTTTAGTATTGGAGAACCTTATTTAAGAAGGAAACAATGATGATCCTATTTGTACACTTTATCAATTTTTAAGTCATATTTAAGGAATTTTCTCAAAAAAAAGTCATATTTAAGGAATTAACTCTATATCACCTCCTAAATTCCCCCCTCCAATGATGTAACCATTCTGAATCACTTCATTTTCAGCAACTAAATTATTGTTTTTCTATGAGTTATCATCTTGAAGAGGACATTAAGAATTTGACTTATTTAAACAAACAAAATTTTTCATTGAACTTTTTTTTTACTTAGCGCCGCTTTCTCTAATCATCTTCTTTTTTATTTATCCTATTCAGATTCAATCCTTTTTATTACACCTTAATAAAAATCAATCAACAATTAAGAGATCAAACAATCAACTATGAATGGAATCAATTAATAAACTAATCAAATAATCATATCAAACTAATATGCTTTCGAGTGATTTTTTTGTAAAATTTTAAGAGAATGTTTTTAATCAAGTGTAGATTATGTCCATAAAATTTCAGTTTAAAATTCAATCGGAAGTCAATAAAGTAAATTATTAAAAAATATGAGCCAAAATATGTATAAAACGTATTGTTTTTCAATAATTTATTTGACTGACGTACTTCTAAATTGAACTTTAAACTGATATTTTTTTTATATAATCTACACTTTATAGAGAACATGATCATAATTTACACCAACAAAATCATTCCGAAGAACTTCAACAAATTCCACCTGAAAAATTGTTAGTTTAGGTCTGAAAAAACAGCCTACTCACACATATTACAAACAACTAAACTTGGGCCTATTTTTTATCCAATTTGTTTGGGCCTAGGGCGCCCGCCCCGCTTGCACCCCTAGGGCCGCCCCTGGCTGGTGTCTTGTATTTCTTCAGAGCCGGCCAGTTGATCCAAGTCTGATCTGTCTTACGAATCACTTGAAACCCAAAGAATTGTGGGATATACAAAGGACATTTCGGGAACATACATGATTCGTTGCACCCAAAAGTCAACGATTTCAACAAAAATGCTTGTTGCGCCTAAAAGCACACCTCAACGGCTCAATTTCGTTAGCAAAATACTACGTAATTACACAAAGAGAAGTGATGGAGAAGACTCTTTCAACTTTCCATACCTTAACTTGTATACTAGACTAGAAAGACGCTAGTGAACCTCACGAGGTTTGAGTATGATAACAAATAAATAACATAGAATAAGTTAGAGTCAATTCCCTAAATAGGACTAAAAAGTGACAAAATTGCACAAATAGCACTACATTTTTTAAGTTCCCTTAATATGACTATTTATGTGTGTTTGGACAAATATACCCTTGTAACTTGTGAAATTTTTTAATTAATAGTAAAATCATAAAAAAATTAATAAAAATCGAAAAAAATACTAAAAATCATAAAAAAATAATAGAAAATTAGTAAAAATATTTTTTTAAAAAATAATTTTTTTTATAAAAAAAATAAAAATAATAAAAAGAAAATCATAAAATTAAAAAAAAACATTAGCACCCCTGCCACCCCCACCACCACCAGCTGTCCAGCTCCCATCACCGGAGAAAAATATGCCAACATTTTAAATAATGCCATAATGATGGCATATTCAATGAAAGTGTTGGCATATTGAAGAGTAATTATGCCATCTTTTTGGCATATTCAAAAAATATGGCATTTTTTTTACCAAAAGTGGAAGAAATTTCACCAATCGGAGGAGGTGGTGCTGGGAGGCGGTGGGAAAGGTATCCATAGGTTTTTTCATTTTTTATGGGTTTTTACTATTTTTTATTATTTAAAAAAAACTAAAAAAATTAAAAATTAAATTTTTTATTTTATAAATGTTTTCTAAATTTTTTAGAATTTTTTTACGTTTTTAAAATATTTTTTTTACGTTTTTTGTGATTTTATTATGAATTAAAGCATTTCATTATGAATTAATACTCTTAGGGGTATTTAGGGTAGAAAATCAATGTTTAGTCCTATTTAGGGAATTTTAAAAGTAATAGTCCTATTTGTGCTTTTTAGGAACTCATTAGTCCTATTTAGGACAATTTCCGAATAAGTTAATGAATTTACTTCAAGTGGCTTTTTAGAAACAACGTCACACCAATGAGGGAAAACAAAATTTCGGTAGCAAACTGCGACAAAATAATTAGTGGACAGAACCCCAATATAGAAGGTAAGAAGGGGAGGCTTAGAGGCTGGTCATGCACATTTATGGGTCTATGAGCGATATATTATATTGGGCTTATACTCAAAGCAAATCATAAACCACATATATTTAAAATATGAAATCTAATAAAAATATCTAATAAAGGTCATAAAATAAAGACAAAAATCTCTTTGCTATTATTTCAATTATATATTTGGACAAATGTAACAACACAAGTATTACATAAAAAGAAAAATACTACATATTACTTAAAACGTTTCTCGCAAAATAATGTGAAACAAAATTATCAATACCGCTTAAAAGAATAAAAAGCATTAAAAGTTAAAGATATGTGAAGAGTGAAGAGACATGTCGTGTATTTATTCAGGAACAATTGTGTTGCAGAGATAAAATACTTGTTTTTTATTTATCATTTTATTTGAAAAACTAATTAAAGGGGTAAAAACTCAAGCGCATGATACAATCAAGAATTCTTTCAATAAAAAAAAACACAATCAAGAATTAGGATACGCAGCCACTACTGCTCAAATCAATCTCGCCAAACGCCGACTATGCACTTGCCAAAACGCCCACCCTAGGTTAGTAAGGATGTTTTTACTTGGACTGTAATTTATCCCATACCAGACCAAACCAGTCCAGACCAGATAGACTTGCGTAGTTATAAAAATACAAAGAAACCAGATAACACCAGACCAGACCAGACCAACAAATTACAGTCCAAGTAAAAATATCCTAAGCCCCTAATCAGCGAATCAACATCTTCGAAAATGCCGAACAAAGAGGATTCACATTGACTGTCATGACAACAGAAGGGGCAAGATGAAAGAAGATTAGGGGCACCGCTAAATAAAACTATATCTATACCCTAACATTTCGGGTGAATGAGGGCGCTAACACCGGCTCGCCCCCTAATCCCACCGCTGAGTCTTGATGTATCCCAAACATCCCACCACCGATGCATAAGGAGAATTTTCCATCGCCTAAATTCCAAATCATTTTTAGGACATTGTAATAGCTAAACTTGTCCCTCATCTGAATTGAAATCATACCTAAAGAGCATATGTCCATATTAAATCTTTCTAAGACCCATTTGATGTATCTTTTGATGTATCTGAGCTGGTTGCTGTCCTCGACCGCGTCCTCGCCCACGACCGCGGCCTCTGCCTCGTTGCTGGGGACCGGACTGCCGCTGCTGCCCGACTGGGTACTGCTGCTGCCCGACCGGGTATGCTGAGTTCGACGGCTGGTGGCCCGCCTGCTGGCCAGACGGCTGCCTGGGAGAAGAAACAGCCGCACCAAACGCTTGATGGAAGGACGAGGACTCCTGGGAGCGGAGATAAATGACCCGTTGCTCTAACTCAAGAAGATAATTTCGGAGAGTCTCAAACGGGAAATTTTGTCCAAATAATGACACAACAGTGAATAAAGATTCGTACTCAGGTTCGAGTCCCATAATAGTAGTTTTTAAAATTTCACGAGGAGGCACAGGGCAATTGTTTGTGGCAAGATCATCAGCCAATGTTTTAATTTCCCTCAGATAATTATCCATGGACTGATCAAGTTTCTTTTTTATTTGATTAAATAATCGTTTTAATTCCATAGAGCTGGCTAAACTGGCATACATAAATCGAGACTCCAACCGCTCCCAAATCTCATAGGAATGTTTTAAATCACGTACATCAATAAGAACATCCCGAGACAGGGTTGCAAATAACCAAGAACGGATTGTTTGATCAATTCGCAACCATGTGGAAAATTCCGGATTGGGAATTCGACGGTGAAGAGTATCTATGGAATAAGCAGGAGGTACCTGAATTGAGCCATCAACCATGCCAAGGAGTCCTTGTGAGACCAGGAACGATTCAAACTGAGTTCTCCAAGTAGTGTAGTCTTCCACCGCTAGAAGTTTTGTAGTCACAATATTCGTGACATTGGTTGCCACATGCGATATTGTGAGGGCGAGCTCGGTCAGAGGAGAGGTGGCCGAGCTGGTAGCAGGTTCACGAATAGGATGTAGCGTGGAGGAAACACCAGGCGAGCCAACGAATGTGGTGCCGGCGAAGCCAGTGGTCGCGAGGGGGGGTGGCTCGAGCGGAACGGCCTGCACTGGAGTCGGAGAGGACCATGTAAACGCCGGTGGGAAATTCTGAAAAACAGAATATGGCAAAGAGGCCCGACTTGGAGACGCAAAGTTGGAGGAGAAGGTCACGCCGGAGGAGATAGAACTAATTGCCGCCAGCGATCCAAAGGAGAGAGGAGCGCCGGTCGATACGGTGGTGTTGGCCATAGCAGGCGAAAGAGAAGTCGGCTGGCTGAGAGCTGCAGAAGCTTACGACGACGGAGCTGCCATGGTGGGCTTCGCGGCGGGCGACGTCGGAAATTTTGGAGGCGGCGGCTCTAGGGTATTGCACGCGGCGCCGGAAAAGTTTTGAGAGAGGATCGGAAAAAAAATTAATGCGCTCTTGATACCATGTGAGAATAATGGAAAAGGTTACTCCCTAAGGAGCCCTGGCAGATATATTTATAGTAAAGAGAGTTTGATGTAAAGTACAATACTAAGCCTCTAATAATTCTATTATCTTTTCTGAGATATACCCAAATTCCTTGGGAATGTTTTTGAAATATTTATATTCCGATCACATATAATGCCTCAGTGCCTCACCATGACTTGCAACGCAATGTTACTGGAAACGAACTTCTCAACATCCATGCATCATGACCATATCATTCAATTCTCAATATAAACATGATATCATCAACATAGGACTACAATTACAATTATAGTGCCGCTGACATTCATATAGATGCACCCATCAACTGTGTTGTCTCTAACATTATAAAAAGAGAAGTTACTATGAAATTTAAGATACCATTATCTAAAACTTGTTTTAGTCCATATATTGACTTTTGTAACTTACACACATGATATTCCTTATTGATTACAAAAAATTCTTCTCGTTGATCCATATATATATATATATATACTTCCTCCTTTATGTCTCAATTCTGAAAGGTAGTTTCAATTTCACTTTCATTTGGTAAAGCTCTAAATCAAAATGAGCCACCAAAGCCATAATAACAACTCAAAAAGTCATTAGCTATTTTGAAACTAGAGATAATGTCTCCTTGTATTCAATTCCACGTTTCTCAATAAATTCTTTAGCAACAAGTCTTGCCTTAAACTTTTTTATGTTTTCATTATAGAGAGAGTAAGAATATACATAGAGAGAGAGTAAGGATATACATATAAAAAATTATTAATTGATGTTATCATGATTATACTACCTCTTTCCCACTAACAATGGGTTATGAAGAGGTGTCACATTGTTAATAAAAGTGGGTTTTATGTAATTGACATTGAATTCATAAAGCAAGAATGATTTAGAATTACACAAATATTATCAAATGTGGCAGAGGACAATCTTAATGGATGGATCGAAAAAGAAAGATGAGACAATCTTAGTGAAACGGAGGGAATAATTAGTAATATACTGAGTATATAATTTCAAAATTCATAGGAGTTGATCATTTACAGCGCAAACCACGTGGTCAGGGTTTCTTTCCCACAGATGGCGTCAATGTTGAGTTTAATCAACACGATATGATAAATATAGATATAAATTTGCATGAACTCTCGATCTTTACATGAAAACTTGGAAGGAAGAAAATCATGAGACTTTTTAGGTTAATGTCCAAGCCCTCTCATTTTCATTAACACTCTCCTCAGCTCACCATTATTACATATTCCCTCCTCCCATATTTATCTGCGGTTTTAAGATAATGAGAATTGTGTGGTGGAAAGTTGTGCAGAGGAGAGATAAATGTGTAAGAATGGTTGTGAACCACAAATTCTTTTCCAAAAAGGGAAAGAGTAGATAAATTTAGGACGGGCCGAAATGGAAAAAATGAAGATAATTATGGAACAGAGAGATGGAGTAATGGAGTATATATTTTAAGCTAGTCTAGAGAGATAAAGAAACATGGGGAAGAAGATGCCAAAAGGGTATCTCTAATAAGGAGGATAAACCTTATATTTATAAGGGGAATGGAAAAGGGGGTGCAAGGCCACCCTAATGGGCCAATTGGCCCGAAATGGGCCAAAACAGACCTGATAGGCTGAAATGAGCCTCGTCATTCGGGCTCCGTACAAGGATGATGCCTTGGGTTCCTGAACTATTGTAGGCCGAGATAATATATATCAACCCATATAATTTAATAAGTTTTTATAAAATAAAAAATAAAAAAAGAAAGTTATTTAAAAGTTACGAAGCAGAGATCGCGATGCTCAATATTAGACTCATAATACTCAACGTAATAGGTCTGATACTCATTAAAAGTTCGTTAATGCTCATTCACCAGAAACCGTGATTTTCATCTCAATAGTAGAGGTTTGATGCAAAATTAAAATGTCGTGATGTTCAACTAACAAACTTTACGATTTTTATATCATTGTGCACTTTGTAATTTAGTTATGTATGTTCATTTGGTACTGATGTGTTGGGATAATGGCCCAAGTAAAAGTTCGGCCCATTTACCCCTTTATTCGGACGTACGTCCGGACAAGAACTGGGTAGGCTAGGCTGACAGGCAACTTGGACGGGAAGAACGTCGTCACCAAAGCCTGGGCTTACCAGCCATACCGACGAACATCTACCCAGTTGACAGGAAACAGGCCCACAGGCCACATGAATGACGACGAACGTCGTCGGAGCAAGCCCATAACCACTGGAGGCAATCCAGTCCACATGGCAAATCCCCCAAGGGCCAGGAGACGAACGGCTCAATACCCTTTGCAATATCACCAGGAGAACTCACCTCCCCAGCTGGACGAACGTCCCCACTAATTAGGCGGGGAATCTGGATTCTGGCGGGAAGCGCATTTAATGCTGAAGATTTGGTGGTTGGGACACCAGCCATCCACAATCCTTTACGTCAGCATAGCCAGCTGCCCATTGGTAGTATAAATAGCGGCATTTATTTCATTGTAAGGGGTTAGCAACTTTCTATTCTTAGCATTCTAGCTTATAGCCTTCTTACTCGCAGCTCTTCTACTGCCTTGTAAGACGATCGGCCGACGAGCCTCTAGCGAAAAGTATTGTATTAGGGAGTTATTAACAGATTAATAATACCTAATCACTTACTCGCTACTTATTGTTTCTTAATCCGTCTCACTTGTTAGTTGGGCTAGATATTCATACACACTCCACTCGAAATCCTTGGGCTTACGTGTTGGACCCGAGGGTTGAAGGAATAAACCTCAACATGATGTTATGCTCATTTTTAAAATGTCCTATCAATTCATATTTCAAAAGTATCATTTTACATTAGACTCGCATATTGAAATTAATAGGAGTGAGTTATATATATAATTTAATAAGTTTTTATAAAAGAAAAAATAAGAAAAAGAAAAAGAACTAGAAGATATGAAACAGAGATCGTGATACTCATTGTTACCCTCATAATACTTGATAAAATAGTTCAGATGCTCACTAAAAGTAAACTATTGTTCATTTAGCGGAAGCCGTGATTTTCCCTTAAATTACAAAAACGCCACCGATTTTTTTTTGCTTGTATTAGTTATTGGGCTGTCTTTCTTGGTTGGGCCGGTGTACATACACCCGGATGTATGTCATAGGGACTCCAGCTAGGAAACTTAGTTCCTACCTAATAAGTAAAATTCATTTCTAATTCATTTCATCCTAAATCCTGCTCACTTCCTTTCAAAATTCTTGTCTAAATGAGATAGAAATAATTTTTTCTCTCAAAGTCCTCTCTAATCTTCCCTTCTCTAGTAGTGACCGTGGGCGGATCCATGACTTATTTATACGTACGGAGTATAAAAATAAAAACCTCTTTCTTTGGAAAATACAAATAAATCTTAGTTATTCATCCAAACAATAGCACCCTGCTATGTAATACGTAGGAACTAGGAACTATTTTTTTGTTACCAAATCTGTGTGAGATAAACAATTTAATTATCCGAGTTTCTCACAGATATCAAGTTTATATAGCTAATCCGCTGCACCCGCACTTGCAGGGAGTGGCGGATGTCTTCTATGCAAGGTGTTCATGTGAACACCCAAAAATATAAAATCAATGAGAATATATATGCATGAATTAAAGTAATAGATCGGTTATTAGTATTGTAAGGAGAATAAGTGTCATTTTGAATACCCAAAATATGAATACTAAATCCGCCGCTGCTTGCAGGTCCGCATTTCTTGTGGGATGGTCTATGATTGGTAAAGGGTTAGTTGAGGTTGGTTCGGATAAAGAGGTGCGCTATTCTAATGGACACTGCGCCATCGCCCACCTCAGCAATATTGTGATTGCAGCATTTGCTTGGCCTCTTCACGCTTTCTTTGTCTTTCTGGCGTATTACACATTCCATGATGATCCTTAATAATGACACCACAAGTCAGAAGATATATATACCAGATGCTAATTGGAATGATCGAGAGGGGTCATACGTTTAATTACTTTGAGAGGTCCTCTTTTGAAATACATGCAAATTATATTGTATGAGCTCCATTGGTATACGTAAGAAAAATATGTTATGATAATGTACTACATTGGTTCCATTTTATGGGGTTTGTTTCCGTTTGTCATACTTATTAATACTTATGATTTTATGATAATGTACTACATTTGTTCCATTAATCCATTTTATGTGTTTTCTTTCTGTTTGTCATACATAGTACTTATTAATAAAGTAGTGGAAAACTATAAATTTTGATTGAAGTTTGATCAGTAAAATAAGAAGAACTTGCTCTTATGAATGTAAACAAGCAAACAAACACTCCTATTCATGCAAATCTTTGTGATTTTAGTCATTTATAAGGCGGATTCTATAAAACTTCTATCTTATTTGAGCTAGACTTTTGGGGCTGAAATGCTGAATAAAACACTTAGTGCTGTTTCTAAATTTCAAATGTTGTCATTATTCATCAATCAATATCAATCATCATTTACCCGAGTGCCGCAAAGGCTCCCACCTATGGTGGGGTAAGGGGGGTCGGATGTACGCAATCTTACCCCTGTACTAAAGCACAGAGAGATTGTTTCCGGATGACCCATAATGAAAATCGCGTCCAAAATTGCATGCTGACTGCTGCTTCATAACAAAGAAGAACAGACAGTTTGGTGAGCCATTTTGCTTTATTCCATCATATTCTCAAGCCAAAAAATAATGAATCTTTGGCTTCATTGCAAATGATGGAAATATGTCATTATTCATGTTAACTCAAAAAAATATTCATAGATGACCCAATCTAGATTCTAACAAATGCTACATACTGATACAAAAATATCAAGAGGAAATTTCATAGCGCAGCTTTGTCACACAACTAATTTTTGTGCATATTATTAGTTCTGAATTCTTATAAAGCATGTCAAGTGATTAATTAATAAATTTTCTCGTAATAGAACTAATATTAGGCACACATAGCATTAAATTAAGTGATTAAGTTAACATTTTTTAACTCCAAATGTTAAGGATGAACGGAGTTGCAGAGTATCAGTGTTATTACTAAAAACACATGCTAGTAGTAATTAAGAAAGTACGGTATGGTAGGCGTGTAGCTCATAAAATCTTACTATATACAAAACGAAGTGGAACTCTTGACATTTTTACGCCCAAAAGCTCATTAGTACCCCATTTGTACTCCCAAAATTACCTCACTCCCTTCCCCATTTCAATTTTTTACCTCAACTCTTCTCTTCCTTCCAAAACTCCCGTTTTTCTCTTCCTTCCAAAACCCCGGCCCCCGCGACTTCGAACTGTCCAACCCAGAACGTCGCTGTGACTTCGAACTACCAAGCAGCCCCGCGACATTATCGGCCAACACCTCGTCTCACCCTCCCCCGCCTCACCCAACCCAACCCAACCGGTGGAACACCACCCCTCGTCGTCACCAGGAAAGACAACGACGAAAGTGCTGACCAAGAAGCTTTGAATGACTTGAGCAGATCTTATACATATATATATATTTGCTTTCTTGATTTTGTTTTCTTGATTTTTTGGAGTGTTTTCGAAATGAAAAGGGTTGTCTGTCTTACAGACAACGTGTAAGTACAATGTTTATATAGTCAAACATTGTTTCATAGTTGGTGGAATCTTGAACTAAAATGTTTGTCGCACATACAACTCATTTGTTTGTCTACATAGAACCATTGTCTATATGCACATGCAAGTATTGGTACAACTGTATTATATTGTATGTTTTGATGAGTTTAGTAATTGTTAATGTAGTTATAGAAAAGTGTTCGGACATATGGTTCTATTTGTTAATGTATAGTTGAATCTAAATAAACTATGATGGGTGGATCACAACCATTGAACTAGAACGGTTAGACTAGTGTGAACGATAAGTGATTGGACTTAAACCTTAGTCTGTTGTGATTAACCATTGTATGTAGTTTTGAATCAACCATTTTTTAAAAAGTGAACATTAATTAAATTTCATGCATTAACGCAATGTGTGAATGATAAGGGTTAGATAACGCGACTTATAGAGATAACGAGACATACATGATTTTTACAAGAGAGACAATAACTTTGCACATACAGACAATACATCGGATACCCAGACAGACAAAAGATCAAGATACATAAGTGGATGATTAATTATACATGTAATGTTTGAAAAAACTTACACATGTTCAAAAAATCCAATCCATTTGTTCAACATCGTACAACATTGCACATGTAACATTGTACAATATTCGACACATTTCCCCAACTGTAATATGTAATGTTTGCAAAAAAATACAAGTTCAAAAAATCACAAGTTCAAAACCGACACATTTCCCCAACACTCTATGCTTCAGCCTTCTTCAAGCGTTAAAACCGAACAACAAATTCAAGTCTTTTGTTCCACATGTTGACGTAGCCATAGTCAGGAAGCAATAACTTCCCTAGTAGCAGCTGCTCAGCATATGATAGGACCATGACACCACATTCTCAGGATTTGTAGACAAAAAAAAGTACTGACAAACATTTAGAACACTTAACATAGACAATACATGTAATGCAAAAAAATATTGAGTTTAATACCATGCTTGCTATTGAGGCACACCCTCCACTGCTTCAGCTTCCCATGACTGGACATCACTTGCACGAAGCAGGTAGGGCAGACGCACACACAAATCCCTAACATAAGACGGACTCTTACAAGTCTTCATAGAGTCATAAACTTTAACCAATCTACTTCCAAATACAACTTTGAAGACAAGTAATTACATCTCAAAAAATACACCCCATAACTTACATACAACTCACAATCAAAGGACATACAACTAAATATAAATTACATACATGCAAGTATTCTTAAAATGACAGACAATTTCACAACTCTTACAGACTCCTCACAACAACATGGCAGACAAGTCATTACAGACAACTCAAAACAAATACATACAACTAACAAGCAAATGACAGATAATTAAATACCAATTACAGACATCTATTTTGCAAATGATAGACAACTTCACGAGTCTCACAAACAAATACAGACAACTCAAACCACATCAATGGCAAGGGCAAAAAAAATACATGCATCAGACACTTATGAAGTCCTTACAGACAACTCGAAACAAATACAAACATATAATAATAGCTTACCAAACATCTAAAACCCAATTACAAACCTAACAAATTCATAATAATCACATAAAATATTCAATAAAAAATCATTAAACACTCATTAAACACTGAAGTACAAAAATGAAAAAAAGGTCTTGAATTTCAACAAAAACATTCACTGAGTAAAGGTTCACCAAATTAACTTTTGTTGGTCAATGACAATCAACTTTGACCAAAGATATTTTTTAGTACAAAATTATTTAGAATATAAAAATTATATCATAATGTTCCTTATTCAAAATATTTTCATAAAAGTATAAAATTTATACATTTTACAGAAAAAAATATTAATTGAATTCATTATTCAAAGTTTGCCATCATTGACCAAGAAAAGACATTATGGTGAACCTTTTCTGGACAGAGGTAGTAATATACATAAAATAAAAAAAGGAAAATAAATAAAATAAAAAAAGCACATTGGTAAGTTCGTATTACAACACGCATTTGATGCGTGTTGGGATTGGCTTTTGATGGTTTTCCTAGCTTTTAGGTGTTATAAGTCTCAATTTTAGCTCAATTATATTTATGTTTACCAAACGTTGGTTCGAGTTTTGGTATATTTGGAGTCGAAATCAGGTTTTTGGAGTCTGGCACCGGCGCTTGAGAAGCAACCGGGACGAGATGAGAAGCATTCGACAGTGATTCGAGAACTTTGGAGGTCACCGAGAGGTTCAAGATGAAGATTTAAAGGCAAAAGAGCTCTAGGCCAGATTGGCTACGGGATCAAAAGAAGACGAATAGAGCTTGAAAACGGCAATCATGATGACCTTTTGTAAATCGTTCATGCATATCTTTTTGTAGAAACATCCCAACGACACGATTCAAGTTCCAAATGAAAGCCAACTTCAAGGGCTACAAATCATATGAAGACACAATTGCAAGTATCAGATGTGAGAATAATATGGAAGCGTACCTTAATGTAGCCCCAGAAGTAATATTTATAATAGAAGAGTCCAAGATACAAGAGATATCCTACTATAATTAGGCAACCTAATTAATATAAATATAAATACGCTATCACACCCCCTCAAGTTGTGCAAGGGAAATAATGTGCAGGTTGTCCCGAAGAAAAGTAAACCGTTGTGGAGACACTGTAAGCTGAGTAGGAACAAACTTAACCTGTAAATCACCATGAGCTACTCGTTCACGAACAAAATAATAATCATTATTAATGTGTTTGTTGCGCGCAAGCTGAATGGGATTAGCAGATAAATAAGAAGCAGACACATTATCACAGAGTAGCTGGACAGGTGTAGCAATGGAGACACCCAACTCGAATAAAATGGAACGGATGTGAAGAGTATCTTGAAATGTGTAGGCAATGGCCCGATATTCTGCCTCTGTAGAAGATCTGGAGACGGTGGGCTGCTTCTTGGATTTCCAGGACACCAGATTCGGCCCAAAAAATATAGCAAAACCAGAGGTAGATATGCTGTTGTCCGGACATTGTCCCCAATCAGCATCTGAGTAAGCCAAAATAGTAGGTGTGGTCGAACTCGGCTGAAGTAATAATCCAAAATCAGATGATCCTTGTAGGTACCTGAAAATACGCCTAACAGCAAAAAAATGTGTAGTACGAGGAGCATGCATAATAATTGGGAGACTAGGTGAACATCATAAGATCAGGTCGAGTACTCGAGTCATAGTTAAATAGTGTAGTGCTCCAACCATACTCCTATACTTAGTACGTAGGATCTGCTAATAATTCACCATCAGTCAATGACAGTTTGGAACGAATGGGAAGAGGAGTACGGACATGTTTAAGAGTATGAAGATGAAAATGTAGGAGAAGGTCAGACACATATTTTTGCTGAGAAAGAACAGACCACGAGAAGTATGGATAGATTGGACACCCAGAAAAAATGTAAGTTACCCAAATCTTTCATAGCAAAGGTTTTATCAAGGCGAGATATAAAGGAATTAATGAAAGATTGG